TATATATATATATATATTTGTAAAAGGTATTTAAATTGTCAACTACTTTTTCTCATTAATTTTAGACTTTAAAAAAAAATTAGCAAGCACACGTGTAAAAAGAAATATCATTTTTTTACGGAACGATAGAAATTGCACGCATAATTACAACTACAAGACAGTTAAAGGTCTAACCTAGTGAGAGGACACCACAACGCACCCACGGTAATAAACTTAACTCCTAATAGAAGAATCTAAATCCCAAAAGTGATAATAACACCAACTCCAAGAGGATAATCTAAATCTCAAAAAGATAAAACTAGCAAAAGAAAAAGGAAAACACAAAGAAACATAGAAAACACACAAGCTCACAAACCTAAAACACAAAAAGAAAATAATAATAATAATAAATAAATAAGAAAAAGAGCCCTTCTCACAACCGGACTAACACACCTGACAAGCCTCAATAGTAACACCACGATCGACCACCAAAACAACCAGGCCATGGTCCAAGTTCAACTCCAAAAACTGCAACCCCCGGCCTAACTAGAGTCAAAACCCGAGACCCCAACCCACTCCCTGGCGGCCAACCACAACCCTTCAGCTGGAGGTCATCCGAATAGCCCCACCCACATCGCATCATCACCACCCCGTTCCCAGCCAACACCACTGGTCAGCCCTGGCGCGACGGCTGTTCCTTTCTCCCTAACACTAGGGAAAATAAGAACAAAGGGGAGGCAACCACCAACCTCTGCCCCGGCCACATACTCGGTAAACGAAGCCACAACCCGCCTCCGACGCAACACCGCAATAACCTCTGCCTCGCCGCCATGGAAATTGGCGACTTCGTCCCAGAATGGCACCATAGGAGCCGAAGACCACCCGGGAATTCCGACCGACTCCGCCGCTCGAGAAATTGGACACCAACATCAAATCGAAGCCACGCTGCAAGCCAGGAACTGGCCACCGTCGACGAGCCCGAAAGCCCCGTCAGGGAAGACAGACGCAGAATTAGGCTAAGATTTTTCTTTTTTTGAAATTAAGGGAGACAATACAATAGAGAGAGAGAGAGAGAGAGAGAGAGAGAGACGAGACATAAAATTCAAAAGGAAATTTCCTTGAAATCCCCAATTTTTATGGGATCTTCATGCACACATATATACACAATACTAATCAACATGCTAAATCACATCACAAATTAATACACCAAAACATAGACAAAAAAAGAAAAACCACACATTAAGGGGGGAAAAACATTGAATACATGCATGTGGCTAGGTTTCTAAGTGCCAGGCGATCTCTGGGCTCGACGAGTCCGTTGTGCGTTGGTTAAATGCAATAGGCTGTTAACACCATCAGACCTTGATTGGTTCGCGTCCGTCCTGCGGTGTATACCTCAGGATGGGATTGAGTCTAGCAACATTTCATAATGAAGATAATGCAATCACACCTCGTACACTCAAAAAGTGTAACCTTTCGAGTAGGTTCGTTGCCGAACCGCCTGAAGGGACCGAGTTTTCTAGAGAGACGAACGAATCGGTAAAAGGAAGCGGGCCCATTTTGTACAAACACGTGATGAAAACCGACAAATCAATTGATAAGTCGGTGGTGGGTGACTTCGTGATAATCGTGGGTTTAACCGCCACTTTCTTGGTGGCGATTTTTTGCTACATTCCGGTCAACAGAAAAAAGGCGGTCGAGTCGAGTTCGCCTAGCAGCTCGTTCAAAAAGAAGGATGCCGAACCGGGTTTGCCTACTCTGGTTTCATCAAATTTAATCATTACTAGCCAATAAATAGAATTCAACAAGAAAATGAAGGAATAACTGAATTGAATGTATATAGAAAAGTTTGTAGTACACAAGTTTATTACTTGTTCTTTCTCTTGAATTCGGTAAAGCTTGTGTTTCTCATTATCTGTACTTTGGGTTTGCTTATGCCCCTTTATGGACCATCGATGTTGGGATACAAATACTCAATTTACAGCCCAATCTAATTTGATTCTTACCAGACTCCAAGTATGCCTGGACAAATGTATCAGTGACTCACAAGCCGCGTTTGTTCCGGGACAATCATTGATGGATAATGTGGTCGTGGCTCAAGAAGTGTTTCATTTCTTAAATAGACACAGATCTGGTAAGGATTATTTTATGGCGATAAAATTAAACTTGCTAAAGGCGTATGACCGTGTAGAGTGGGATAGTGTGAGACAGGTTTTGCAAAAGATGGGGTTCCACGTTACTTTTATTAAATGGGTGATGGGGTGTATTACCTCTACATCTTTCTCTTTTAATTTGAATGGGCAGGTTTGCGGCTTGGTTAATCCCTCTCGAGGGTTGAGACAGGGGGATCCTATTTTCCCATATATCTTTATATTAATTGCTGAAGTATTCTCTTCTTTATTGAATTATGAAAAAGGGCTGGGAGGATTACAGGGAATTCGAATATCAAGAGGAGGATCGGTGGTATCTCATCTTCTGTTCGCAGATGATTCATTAGTGTTTTGTAAACCGGACAGTAACCAAGCTTTTCAACTGGTGGATATTCTTGCTAAATACAAAGCCTTCTCTGGTCAGCAGGTGAATTGGAGTAAGTCGTCTGTTTTTTTCACCAGAAATACACCTTTACAGGTGAAACAAAGAATTTGTCAAATTTTGGGAGGTGTCACTGTGCATAATTCTACGAGATATTTAGGACTGCCACTGAGGATAGGCAAGTCCAAGGTGGAGACCTTTAAATTTGTGCTAGAAGCAGTTAAAGGAAGAATCCGAAGTTGGAAGAATAATTTTTTATCCACAGAATGTAAGGAGGTTCATATAAAAGCAGTTTTGAATGCCCTTCCTATATTTGTTATGAGTTGCTTTAAACTTCCTATTACTATTTGCAAGAAAATCACAGGTGTCTGTGCTGATTTTTTGTGGGCAAAGGGTAAAGAGCATGACAGGGGTACTCATTGGAAGTCTAGGAAGATTTTGGCCTTACCTAAGAAATGGGGGGGCTAGGCTTCCAAGATATCCAACTTTTTAATGATGCGATGATAATGAAACAACTCTGGAGATTACTGACTAAATCGAAACTTTTGATTAGCAGATTATTAAAAGCTAGATATTTTCCTCAGTCTGATTTTGTGGATGCGAAAAGAGTATCTGGTGGATCTTGGGTTTGGAATAGCTGGATGGAGGTGAAAGAGAGATTTGACCAAAATGTGCAGGTGCAGGTGAAGCCAGGGGAAAGAGACAGATGGGTGTGGAAACCGGATAAAAAGGGTAACTTTTCTGTCTCATCTGCTTATGATTCTTTAACTTTGAGCAAACTCTTTAAACTTGACATACCGGAAGGGAGCAACTCCAGAAGGATAAACATGATCACGAGAAATAGAACTTGGCACCTCAAAATTAAAGGTAAAATGTTTTTGGAAGTGTTTTTCAGGAATCCTTCCAGTACAGGTTAATTTAATCAAAAAGGGTATAAGGGTGGATCCAATATGCGAGGTTTTTGGAGAAGCATATGAGACGATTGATCATTTCTTCTGGGAATGTCATAGATCGAAGAGAGACTGGGAAATAGCTCCGGTGAGATGGGAAGGTATGATGACAAAAGAACTTACCTTTTCTAACTGGTGGTGGCAAATTTGCTCGCTTTCTCACAAGGCCATTAATGAGGATAGAATTCAGTTGTCGACATATTTATTATGGTGGCTTTGGAAGGCGCATAATCTATGTGTTTTTCAAAAGCAGTGGCTCCCGGAGCTTTGTATAGTGCAGCAAGCCGTCCGGGAATGGAGAGAATTCAAGGCGATGTAATTGTTTATTTGCGAACCAGGAAAGATGTTGTAGGTCTTGTGACAGTGCACCATCTTAGTCCCGATTTTTGTTTTGTCTGGCAATATTATTGTGGTTAGGGTATTAATATATAGGTGTTCGGCATATCCAAGCTGCCTATAGATTATTGTGTTTATCTAGATCGCTTTCAAGCGATCTCCCATATTTTCAGGCTTTTTTCGAATTTCTAGGAGATGTATTATATTTGAACATTGTATTTTTATTTGGATTAATGTGAGTTTTTTTATCGTTTCGAAAAAAAAAAAACTAATTTGATTCTTTAAGAAAAATATTCTGCAATAATTAATAGTCATACACAATTCCAAATACACCCAAAAATTAGACAATATTAGTCAAATAAAAAATATTTATAAACAATTAGTAACTGCTACCATGGGAGTTACAAACAATCTCTCTCATCCTCTTCTTTTTTTTCTTTTTCTTTCCTACTTCTCTTTTCTTATCCTTTTTTCTCTTTCTTCTTTCTCTCTCCTATTTCTCCTTGCACGTTATGTCTTTCTTCCTTTTTCTTCATCTGCGAACATGAATTCCAAAGAATAAAAAATTGATAAAAAAATATGTTGAAGGCAAAAAAGAAAAAACAACAATCTTAGGATGAAGTGATCATGTATGAGAGGGAAAATAACAAATAAAAAAATAAAAATTTTTGTGCAATCAATCTGCACTCAAACCCAAATTAAAAAAAAAAAAAAAA